AGGATCTCTGTAGCAATATCCATCTTGAATCAGCAGTCACTTTCCTGTGGGTCCTGCATGTCCAGTTTATACATCACAAAGTCAAACAGTCCAGACAAAAGCAGTATCTTGTCCACATGGCTAGTCTTGCCATATTGAAGGCAAACTCCATAACGTGTTTCTTTAATGTCCATCTTCCTCTCTGGTGCAGGTGGTATTGCCAAGAGCAATTATGTCTCACTGTCAAGAAAAACCCTAAATCATTTTAAAGGCCATATTCTGTAGGTCTTTGAAAGGTTTGAAGAATTCCTATCCATCTCAAATACATCTCTACATATCTATAAAACCTAACTCATCTAACTATAAGTTTTGACTATAATAGGTAACTATCTGTAATCTGTACTAAATTATACATTACATTTCTAAATGAGCTATATAAACACAATACCTAAATAAGAGGAGAAATATACATATCACAAAATTGACATTAAATTGTATCAATAAATGAAAATCCATTCCAAAACAAAGTATTCATATCTATATCATAATTCCCTTTTTATCTTTTAAAGGATAATGGTTATGATCACTAACCATTTATAACCAAGTCCATTTAAATGAAAACAAAGATTTATAAACAATATTTGGAAATTTGGACGTCATTCTTTCCAAACTACTTCGTGCTGGTAAAGGGAGCTGTCATGGGAAAATCCTAAGAAGACACAGAAATCCTGTTTGTAGTCTGCGAGGCTGTTTTGTCCAACCTGTTTTGAATGTTGGATCACCAGCGACTCTGTTTCAGGGGGCCTGGCTTGATCAAACCACATTAGTCTGGAAAGAATACACAGCTTTTTATTTTCTGTGGAAACAAAAATAGAAATCCTTTTCCCCAGTAACTTGTCCTTGAACTTAAATTTTGGAATCAAAGCGTTTTTAAAATATATAAATTGAATTAATCCAGCAGCATTTCCTTTAACAATACAAAGACAATATAACACCGTACAGTATCCAGATTCTCTCCATCTGTGGCTTTTTTATTATTTTGTTTCTTTTTTTATTTTTTGAGACAGGGTTTCTCTGTGTAACTCTTATTTTTCCTGGAATTCACCCTGCATACCAGGTTTACTTTGAAATCACAGAGATCTTCTTGCCTCTGTCTCCGGAATGCTGGGATTAAAGGTGTGTGCCACCACACCCAGTTCTCTTTGTCTCTTTAAAACCATTTTATTTTTTTTCATGTCTACGTATATTTTAAAACACACTGTAAACATTTAGCTCTTTTTCTTAATGTGAATCTGTCCTTACTGTAAATCTTTATCTTTTTCTGGCCATGAGTCTTTTATCTGGTAAACAACAACATTGCTGAAATGAAAGTCATAGTTGTTCCTGCTCTGGTTTACCAAAGATGGCAGCAGGTACTTTTACCGCCAGCACTGAAAGCTGTGCCCACTGCCTTGGTCTGCGCTGCCATCTAGCAAGCATGCTGCCGGCTTGGAGATGTGATCAATGCCATTGTCATCTCTCATAGACACCAATAAATTGTTAGCAGTGCGTTTTAAAAGCTGTGTGGTTTTTCCGCTGCTTATGCTGAGTAAGGAACCTTCCCGTAAAGGAGCCGTGGGAATATCTGCTTGTCTCTCGCAAAGCAGAGTCCAACCGAGAAAAATGCTGTTAGTAAGAAACCTTGGTTGTCTCTGTTCTTTTGTTTGTAAAACCCTTTTTTAAGCTTTTGTTAAATTTTAAGTGTAAGTTGTTATTAGCCATGTGGGCACCATCTGTAGGGAGTGGGGCAGGCGTCTGGTCTCCCTGGTCTCTCCATGCTGACTCTTCCTCCTTCCTATTTCCTCCTTGTCTCCTAGTCCCTCCTATCTCCTTTCCTATTGGCCATCAGTGCTTTATTCATTAACCAGTATGAGAAACATATATATAATGAAATCTCCCATCAATAAACAATCAAAATGTGTAAGTAAATAGGTTTATTATGACAACAAATACACAGATAAAGAAACAATATACTATATGAAGAAGAATCCCACAGAATTGGAGGGAATCTTTGGTAGTCAACCCAGAAAATATAAAGATCCCAGAAACCAAAGAATCACAGTAAATAAACAAACAATCAAAAGACTCACTTAAAAAAATTAGGCCAGGACTAGAGCAGGGCATTTTCAAAAGAAGAAGAAGAAGAAAAAAAAAAAAAAACCTAAAAGCTATCTAAAAAACTACGCATCATCTTCAACAATTTGTTAACTATAATACAAAATAACTTTGAGATTTCATTTTAACACAATCGGATTGGCAAAGATCAACAAAGCAAAAAACAACGAATTTTGGAGAGGATGTGAAGAAAAGAACACCATCATTCACTGTTGTTAGCATTGTACAGCAAAGTAGCCACTATAGAAATAATAAAAAAGCTAAATATAAATGTACCATATAACCCATTATAACTCTTTTTAACATATGCCTGAAATACTCAACATCATACTTTGTAGATAGTTGCTCAATCATGTTCACTGTAACTTTACTTAGGAAATAGAATGACAGATGAGTAAGGACAGTATGGTCCATATACACCATGGATATAGACACATAGACATCATACTCTTCATTTGAAGAGACAAATGGAATCATGAGATTTGTAGTTAAATTGATTTAACTTTCATTGAGTGAGATAATGCTGACCCTAAAAGCCCCACTTCAAACTGGACACTCCCAGATACAATCTTCAGATATAAGTACATATCCTGAATTTAAGTGTAGAAACCAAGAAAGTAAAAAGGACAATTGCCTGCCTATGACAGTAGTGTCCAATTGAAAGAGGGATAGCAGGTACTAGTGACCTAATCAGTGAAAGGGGAGAAATAGGGAGACTACTTTATCTATGGAGATGAGAAAATAGGTACAGAAGAGGGAGGACGGTATCGATGACTGGAAATGTCATAAGTATACTATTAACTCATTTTTTTAAATAATTGTATTTATTTATTTGCTTATTCATTTTTTTTTATTTAACATCCTGGACAAAGTTTCCCCTCCCTTATCTCCCCTCAGCCCCCTCACCTCCTCCTTTCTTCCCATTCTGTAATCCAATGCCTGTCATTTATGCTAAGGAAAGGTCTTCCATAACTTTCAACAAAACATGGTATATCAAGTTGCAGTAAGAATAAGCACCTTCCCATGTATTAAGTTTAGGCAAGGTGGCCAAGTATGAGGAGTAGTGTACAACAATGCACTAAAAAAGTCATAAACACCCCCTTCTTCCACTGTGAGGAATACCACGAGAGGACCAAGGTACACAATAAAAAAAAATATGAAGAGTGCCTAGGCTAAAATATACAGTTATGTCTGTGTATAAACATTAAATGTAGTTAAAATGCAATTTTCTCATCTAGACTGACAATCATCCCTTGAAGAGTACCCAACAAAAACCCCAACAATAGGAGTAAGAATCCTATCTTGACTTTAAGTCAGGGTTGAGCAAGACACTCCCAAAGCATTATAAATCTTTTCTACTGCCTTTGATTCCTCACTCCAGAGGTGAAAGTTAAGTCCCTAGTGTTTAAGAATCATACATACACAAGGCTTTGAGACCTGAACAGCAACTTACTTGATTTCTTACTTACATAGAACTAGCTTTCATGGTACCTGAAGCTACAATGCAAGCACCCAAGGGAGAGGACCAGTCAAGATCTCTACCCAGCTAGAATGCTTATGAACTACACAATGACCAGAATAGCACTATAACCCTAAGTATGCAACTGTTAGATGCATATATTTCCAGTAAAAAGCAAATACCTAATTATAGAGATCCCCCTAATGGTAGAGAAATTATGCTTAGCACTTGTAAACTAGCAACTACTCAGAGCTACTGAAGTCATGGATCTTGGAGGAGAAGCTAAAACTCTCACTTTACCAACAGATAAGGAAAAATCTCACCCCTCATTAAGGAAACATCTCAAGGCAAAAGAAGGAAGCAATTACTAAATGATACAAACAAAATGTAAAATTGTGGAACCCAGTCACAATGAATACAGGTACAAACTAACTCATGTAGTGCAGATTCATGGAATATTGTAAAAGAAGAAAAGAAAGATTCTAGGAGCCAAAGAATCAGGGAGTTTGTTGTGAAGTTACAACTTCTTCCTCTTTTATTTTAAATTGAAAATGTATTCTTTTCTGATACAATACATCCTGACTGCAGTTTCCACTACTTCCAGCCCTCCCTCAGATCTCCCCTGTCCCCCATATCCATTTTCGTTTGTTTCCTCTCCAGAAAATATCAGGCTTCCACAAGACTATATCCAAACAGGAAAAAACAAGCTGCAAAGAGACAAGACAGAAGTTCTTCTTTAGAGGCTAGTAAGGCAACCCAATGGGAGGAAAGTTGTACTAAAGTCAGAATCTGATAATCTGAACCCATAAAATCTCCTCAATTTCCCATTAACGGATCATCCAATCCCAATGGTTAGCACTGAAAACATATACAAAAGTAACATTATAGAGACTATGCAAGTTATATTTGGGAATACATATATATGTACATGTACATATATATGTCACAATAATTAATGAATGAGGAGGCAGTCCATGAATTTGAAAGAACATATATATATATATATATATATGCATTTGAGAGTAGAAAGAGACATGGATCATGGATGTATATACTACATAATCTCAAACATAAAGGAAAATGGGAGACTCAAAATTATATTATGTTAGAAAATATTATTACTGATGATTATGTAATCAATCTCAGAAAATGCAACCTTTATAATTTTCAAATATGTCCAGAAAGTTTGTAGCATTCCTTTCATGTTGGGGATTTTAAGGCATGAATAAAAATGTTTCTATTTTTAAAAATAATATTCATGGATGTTCACCACAACAAAAGTAGTGCTTTAATAACCAGAATTGAATTTTTATGTTCCAAAATTATCTTCTGTTTCTTAACTGAGGTAATCTGTGGCCAATACCTTATGTTCAGACAATTGTACCTGACAAAAAAAAATTAGGTTTTTGTGCTGACTTCAGCAGCACATATGCTAAAATTGGAATGACACAGGGAAAATTAGCATGGCCCCTGCTCAAGGATGACACACAAATTGATGAAGTGTTCCATATTTTTAACTCACATATAAAAAGACACAGGCTACAAGAATGGATACAAAGACAGAACCCATCCTTCTGCTGCATACAAGAAACACATCTAAGCTTCAAAGATAGATACTACCTCAGAATAAAGGGTTGGGAAAAGATCTTCCAATCAAATGGACCCAAGAATCAAGCAGGTGTAGCTATCCTAATATCTAACAAGTTATCCTTCAAACAAAAATCAATAAAAAGGATGAAGAATGTCATTTCATGTTTGTCGCAGGAGAAATCAGTCAGTACAAAATCTCAATTATGCCCCAAATATAAAGGCACACATGCACACACATTCACAAAAGAACATTACTAAAAATCAAATCTCACAAAAAGCCTCATACACAGTGAGAGACTTCAGTGCTCCACTCTCACCACTAGACAGGACCACCAGACAGAAACTTAACAAAGAAACAAAATAACTAACAGAAGTTATGTTCCAATTGGGTTTAACAGGCATCTATAGAACTTTCCATCCAAACACATAAGAATATACTTCTCAGCTCCACATGAAATTTTTAAAACTGACAACATACTCAGCAATATAAGAAACATCAACAGATACAAAAAAAAAAAAAAGAGTATAGCCCTCTCTATTTAATCAGACCAACATATTTAAAGTTGGAATTCAACAAAACTAAGCAATGTACAATTGCACCATTCCTGGATCAAGGAAGAAATAAAGAAAAAAAATTAAAGACATCCTAGAATTCAACAAGAATGAAGACACAGCATACCTGATCTTATGGGACATTTTGAAAGCAGTGCTACAAGTAAAGTTCATTGCACTAAGTGCCCATATGAAGAAAACAGAGGATAGTCACATTAGAGAATTAGCAGCATAACTGAAAGGCCTAGAACAAATGAAGCAAACTCACCCTGGAGGAGTAGATGGCCGAAAATAATCAAATTGAGTGCTGAAATTAATAAAGAAGAAACTAGGAAATCAATATTGAGAAGCAATGTTAAAAAAAAAAAAAAGAGTTGATTCTTTAAGAAAATCAACAGGATACAACTTTATCCAAACTAACCAAAAGGCAGAGAGAATACATGGAAATCAGTAAAATCTGAAATGAAAAGGAGAATATAACAATAAACACTAGGAAATCCAGGACTCTTCAGGTCACACTTTGAAAACTTATACTACACAAAATTGAAATTTTAACAGAAATGGAATATATCTGGATAGGTATCACTTACCGAAATTAAATTAAGAACAGATAAGCAATTTAAATAGACCTATAAACCCTAATGTAATAGAAGCAGTAATCAAATCTTCCCAACCACCCACCCACCCCCCCCAAAAAAAAAAGAAAAAGAAAAAAGCCCAGGGACAGATAGTTTCTGTGTATTCAGTGTAGAATTCTTCCAGAAATTCAAGACCAATTACAGATACTCTTCAAATTGTTCCACACAATAGAAGCAGAAGGTTTGTTGCCAAACTCTATTCACAAGGCTACAGTTACCTTGGTACCCAAGCAACACAACTAAGAAAGTGCACTGCAGACAAATATCTCTCATGAACATTGATGCATAAATACCCAATAAAATCCTGGCAAATCAAATCCAAGAACACATGAGAAAAACCATCCACTATGACCAAATTGGATTCATCCCAGGTACACAGGGATGGTTCATTATTTGTAGATGATATGATAGTTTACATAAGTGACCTGAAAAACTCTACCAGGGAACTCCTACAGCAAATAAGCACCTTCAGCAAAGTTGAAGGATATAAGATTAACTCAAAAAAATCAGTAGCCCAACTACATACAGACAAGGAAAGGGCTGAGAAAATAATCATAGAAACATCACCCCTTAAAATAGTCACAAATAACCTAAAGCATCATGGGATAATGCTAACCAAACAAGTGAAAGACCTATATAGCAAGAACTTTTCATCTTTAAAGAAAGACATTAAAGAAGACACCAGTAAATGGAAAGAACTCTCATGCTGTTTGATAGGTAGGTTAAACATAGCAAAAATGGTAATCTTGCCCAAAGCAATCTACAAATTCAATACCATCGCATCAAAATACCAGCACAATTCTTCACTGACCTTGAAAGGATAATACTCTACATGGAAAAACAAAAGACCCAGGATAACCAAAACAACCCTATACAATAAAGGAACTACAGGCAACATCACCATCCCTGACTTCAAGCTCTATAGTCCTGAAAACAGCTTGGTATTGGCACAAAGAATAGAGAGGTAGACCAATGGAATCAAACTGAAAAATCCAGATATTTGTTAACCCACAAGCCTATGAACAAGTGATTTTTGGCAAATCAGCTAAACTTATACAATGGAAGGTGGAAGGCATCTTCAACAAATGGTGCTGGCATAACTGGGTATTGATGGGTAGAAGACTGTAGATAGATCCATGTCTATCTACATGTACAAAACTTGAGTCCAAATGGATCAAAGACCTCATCATATATCCAGTCACATTGAACCTCTTAGAAGATAAAATGGGAAGTAAGCTTGAACATAACACCAGTAGCACAGACACTGAGATTGACAATAAATGGGACCTCCTGACACTGGGTAGTTTCTGTAAGGCAAAGGACACAGTCAACAAAACAAAACAGCATCCTCCAGATTGGGAAAAATTCAACAACCCCACATCTGACAGAGGGCTGACTTCTAAAATATACAATGAAATAAAAAAGCTTGTCACCACAACACTTAATCCAATTAAAAATAGAGGACCAAGCTGAATAGAGAATTCTCAATAGAGGAATCCAAAATGGCTGAAAGACACATAAGAAAGTGCTCAGCATCCTTAGCCATCAGGGAAATGGAAATCAAGACAACTCTGAGATACCATCTTACCCCTGAATAATAAAATACATCAGTAACACATTATATTGGAGAGGATATGGAGAAAGGTGAACACTCCTCTACTGCTGGTGAGAATGCACATTTATACAGTTATATTGGATATCATTATGGCAGTCCCTCAGGAAACTTGGAATCAGTCTACCACAGGAGCTGACAATTTCACTCTTAGGCATATACCCAAAAGAAGTACATCCAGGCAACTAAGACATCTGTTCAATTATGTTTATAACAGCATTATTTGTAATAGCTACAACCTAGAAACAACCTAGGTGCTCTGCAACTGAAGAATGGATAAAGAAGATTGATACATTTATGCAATGGAGTGCTACTCATCAGGAAAAACAAACAAATACAATGGAATATTGAAATTTGCAGGCATTTGGATGGAACTTGAAGAAATCATCCTGAGTGAGGTAACCCAGTCACAAAAAGAGGACCATGGAAAGTATTGCTCATATATGGATTTTAGACATAGAGCATAGTATCACCAGTCTGCAATTCACACTGCCAGAGAAGCTAGGATACAAGGAGGACCCTAAGAGAATTATACATGGTGCTTCATAGAAGGGGAAAGGGATAGGATCCTCTGAGCATATTGAGACCTGTGGAGGGGGCAGTGAGCAGAGATGGAGCTAGAGGAAAGAGAAGAGGAAAAGAGAAGGGGAGAGGAGAACATGAAGGATGAGGAAGACTGAGTCTTGGAAAGAATTGATGAAAACAAGAAAATAGGTACCATAACAGAGGGAGACATTATAGGTTTGAAGACAAAACTGAGACTAGAGAAATGTCCAGAAACATACAAGGAAGACCTCATTTAACAGTATGAGCAGTAGTGGCAAGGCTATCTTAAATGCAATTCCCTAATGATGAGGTTGATACCTATTTTATATGCCATCCTAGGACCTTATCTAGTGGCTTAATGGAAACTGAAGCAAACACTCACAGCTAAACATTGAGCAGTGATGAGCAAATGGTCAAGACCAGGCTACAGAGACCCAAAAAGATAGCTGAACTGAACAAGGGGGAGATCATGGACCCCAGAATGATAGCTGGGAAACCAACATAGGACTGAACCAGATTCCCTGAACATGTGTCTCAGTTAGAAAGCCTGGGCAGTGTATGGGACCTCTGACAATAGAACCAGGATGAATCCCTGGTGCATAAAAGGACTTCTGGAACACATTCCCCATTGAGGGATACTCCCTTAGCCTAGAGATAGGAGGTTGGGCCTAGGTTTGATTCCTAATTACTTGACAGATATTGATGATTCCTCTTGGAGGGTTTCACCTGGCCTGTGGAGTGGGAGGGAATGGGACAGGGAGGAGGCATGAGAGGATGGGAGGGAGAGGGAATAGGCATTAATATGTAAAATAAGGAAATATAAATAAAAAAGAATATTTATATAAATAATTCAGATTTCAACCTTCATGGTAAGAATGGATTATTATCAGTGCTACTCATAAGAGCAACAGGCATGTGTGAAGGGACTGGCACTATGGGACCATAGCTTCTGGGCCTCCATGAATCAATAACAGCAGGATATCTTCAGAGGAGATTCATTAAGCATACTGTATTGATGGTGTACCATATACCATAGCCCTTAAACCTGACCAACATCATGTTACACAATGAAAATTTGCTTGGATTTTACTTTTAATAATGCTGAAAGAACCATTTTGTTTATTCCAGGCATTGTTAAAACAAATTTTCTCAATTCTACTCATTTTAAAATATCAATGAGTTTACAGTTAGATTTATGCATATGTCATAATTACAAAGGCAATGAGGCAATGGGAAAAACATACAAAGCTAATTTATTCTGGACCCATGACATTCTTTGCATAAAGACATACATATACCACATAACACACACACACCAGAAAAAGAAAAGAATTTTAGAAAAGACACAAACACCAAACACATTTCTAGGACCAATCATAGTACCCCATTTTTGAACTTCATTTGTATACTCATAGAATTTCTTTTGCTAAATTGTAGGGCCCTACATGGACATGTGGGGCACCCTGAACCTGGAACTCCTGGCCCCAGTGCTGTTATTGGTACTCTTCCTGTTTTGATAACACACACCTCATGACAACACGCACACACAGTGTAGGGAGTAATTAAGCCTTAAAATC